TACAGGGCTTGGGATAAACAATCGCAGCTTAGAATGATAAAAGCTAACTGCTGAGACGCGAAATACATTTTGTAAAGAGTATACCTGGTCAGAAATTTAAAACAGGATCCAATGGTAAGCTTAGAGATCCCTTGGTTTATGAACGATGTACCAAGAACGATAACACCCAACATTACATGCGTGCGGTCTCGCGACCAGGTTGTGCTGTTTGTTTTGACATCTCCAACCGCGAGAGCTTTGAGAACATCAATGACTGGCGGGCCATTGTCACAAAGCATTGTGGACAAGCCAAAGAAGCCAAAGTGTGCCCTCGTCGCTAACAAAGGACGGTGACGCGCTGGTGTTTGTCCCCCTCCCCCTCACTCGCTATTGAACAAGTTCTCATTGTAACACCTCACCGCCTGGGTTTTGTGCCCCACCTCTTGTCACGGTCACTCACATATCCACCTACATACACACACGCACACACACACGCACGCACGCACATGAGCGCTTACTTACACATGTGCGCTTGTGTTTTCGTCACGACTCCACGTTCATTCAGGCGGGTTTGGTGTGACATATTTGGCGCAGGACAACAGCAGCGACACCCTCGTATCGGTGAGAACAAAGATCACATTATCCCTCGCGAACGCATGCACCTGTTTTGCCTTGCTGCCGTACAACCTGCACTCACTGCTAGCATGTGTGTATGTGTGTATGTGTGTGTGTGTGTGTGCGCAGGTGAAATGCATTGACAAGTCACGTGTGCTGGAAGACAACTGGGAGCCATTGCCCGATTCCCTTCATCTCGAACGCATCGACAACGACGCAGCACCTGGTAGGGGATTGTGACGGTGATGGTGGTGGAGGTGGTGGATGGTGGTGATGGGTGGTCGCTGTCACAGGTGATGCCCGTTCTTCTTTCTCTTTCTCGTCTCCAACTCACCACCATGACCACCATCACTTCTTATTGCGCATGTGTGTGTGTGTGTGTGCCGCTCCGCACGTGTGTATGTGTGTGTGTGTGTGTGTGTGTGTGTGTGTGTGTGTGTGTGTGCTGTCCACCACCACCACCTCTCTGCCACGTCAGCTGGGCGGTTACCACGGGAGATTGCGCTGCTGCTGCGCCTCGATCACCCCAACATTCCACACGTCATCGCCGTCTACCACAACGCCACATTCTTCCAGGTGGGCTGCGTGACAAACACACACACACACATGTGTGTGTGTGTGTGTGTGTGTGTTGACACAACAGCTGCTATCCTTTGTTCCCTAAAGTTGGTTGATGCGTGGTGCTCACAAGATTTCTCCTCACCGCCACCCCCCCCCCCTCTTCCAATCCTCAACTCTTCCGACCCGTGAACCAGATGGTGGTGCCGTCGCACGAGCCGGCCTTTGATCTCTTCCGCTTCATTGACGAAAACCCGGCTGTGGAGGAGCCGATTGCGTCACACATCTTCAGACAGGTGTGCCGCTGTCGTATGCAGTGGCTGGTATTGGCATGGCTCATATCACGAATCACACACGCACCATACGCGAACACAGTTCAGGCAGTTGCTGCAGTGAAGTGTGTGTGCGTGTGTGTGTGTGCGTGTGTGTGTATGTGTGTGTGTGTGTTTGTGTGTGCGTGTGCGTGTGTGAGTGTGTGTACTTTGAGAACAGCGTCATGCCCAGCTTTCACGCTCACCGTCAGTCATTCTGGACACGTCATCTCACTACGTGCTCCCACGATCAACCACCAATCGCAATGATAATTCATCCCCTTTGCGCATC